AATAATAATAATAATAATAATAATCTTTTCAAAAGTAAATTTAAATTTACGAAGCCCTTTTGAGGGTATTGAGTCCATAGACCCCGACCCCGTATTCTTGTTTAGAAATGCTGTAGCTATGATCGTGCACAAAACAAATTCACAAAATGCATATACTTAATAACAAGCCACCATTACACAGAATGCCGTTGAACAGATTGTGAACAACTCCCAAGAACCCACAAGATGAAAGCTTAATCAACTTATATACTCACAATATGGCACACAAACAAATGCTTTTCTTCGGCAACTCATCAACCTTCTTTTCTGTAAAGAAACGAAATGACGACTTTCAGTAACTAGTGTTCGAGACACTGTAAAATTCATATAATCACAAGCCTCATTTCACTTTCAGATAAACAAGTACAACGAAATTGTATTTGTTTGAATAATAAGGCTTTAGATACAAGCTCCTCGATTTAGCAAAGATACTTGTGAAATAGAGGAAAAATCATTTATCCAAGCACATCACATTCTGAAATGTGATGAATATGAATGTCCATTTAAGGAAAATGAAAATATGCTAAATGAAAGCCATATTTTTTTTCTCATAGGTGGAAACTCCATCATGACAGAAGCAAACCGTAGCTAATGGAGAAGTACATGTAACACAAAGACGTGTGCATAAATATCATATATTTTTCTCATAGGTTGAACAACATATTTTTTCTCATAGCATGAACGACATATGCATAAATATCATCAGAATGGTCGTATCAACGACATATAGTTTTTTCTTTATCAATACGGGATATAATCCTAGTTATAGTTCCAAGCGACCCTCCAAGCCATTGAGAATAATCATGGCACTATCTTGATTTTATCACTTCTATATATTCACCATAGTAAATAATAATCCAAGAAAATCTGCAGTGTCCATCACAATCAAATATTTAATCCCCATGCTCCTTTCTTCTGGGAAAAACTGGATAGCCTATCATACAAATGTTGGGTTATTTACTATTTAGCAGGACTAAACTTTTATATTTGCAGTACTACTTGAAAGTAGTACTAATTCACACTAGGTTATTACCTTCAGGAAAAATGGAATTGGAATATGTTGCCTTGACTTGCCTAGAATTGCTTCCCTGTAAAGCTAGAATACACACACATCTATTATGTATAGTTATTATTTTTTTATTTCTTCCTTCTGCTGCTTATTTATCTCAATACTTTTAGAATATGTATCTTCTTGACCTAAAGAATTTTCTAGCCAATAATTAGGGTCAATGTTTGGGAAGCCATTTGAAAACTCCTCGTAGTCCAGGACTGACAAGGAATAAACACACATGGAATGGAACCAATTAAACTCTGTATCACTCATGTACACAATCATATCCATCAAGGGCTTTGAAACTTCACAGAAAGTAGAGAAATCTGAACATGAGGCAATTATTCCCAAAATTAATTGATCACCATCAAGAAATGAAAAACTAAGCAGGATTTTCATAGATTCATGAATAAGACTCTATTCGAGCCCCCTTTTTTTAAAATTATTTTTCCCCAAATTCTTTTTTAACCAAACATTCTCCCAATAAAATAATTTTACACATAAATCCAAAATTTTACCCAACTTTTTAACCAACATTTTCCAAAAAAATCGCTTTTCACAAAATTAGTTGTCATAAAAAGGGGCTCAAACAGGGGCTTAAATTATGAAAACCAAGTCTAAACAGCCTTTCTTATGCTGACATAATTTCATTTTTTATTAAATAAAATAGCATAACCCAGAATAAAGTTTCTTCAGCATAATTTCAATTTCAATTTCAATTTCAATTGAAGTGATGACCTTAACAGATTTCTTTTATGCCTGGACTGTAATGGAGATGTATCAGAAATCCCGAGTTCATTTGAGCAGCTAAAGTTAATGTGAAAAAAAGCTGGTTAGGAAGGCCTATTGGGACTAATACGCTACTGGATGTCAATCACGGAAACAAAAGAAACTTTGTTACAAACAGGTAATGATATAAGAATTAACCACAGATTCATAGAGAAAATCAATTTTGGAGAGTACATAGAATAAGTAAATTTAACATTGACGTTGATATATCGTTGAATACCAACAGCTAACTCAAGTGCCATGTGGAAACAAAAAAAAAAAGGTGCTGTTTAAAGAGATGACAAACTGCAGCTAGAAAGTAACAATAAAGAAGGTCTCCTCCTTCCTCCTGAAGGAAGACAAAAATGTAGTCCAGCAGACAAAATAAAATGTACTGCACCACTCGGAAAAGATTCTGGGCAGAATTTAATATTTGATGAGAGATGCTACATTTCCAGAAAAAAGGATGACATGGTGGTTGACAGATTCTCACAATTGGGGGTCCCACTTTTTTTTTTTCAAAATATTTTATTCAGCGGGTCCCACAAACAATGTGAGTATCTGTCAAAAGGCATGTCAACCATTTTTCTGTACAAATGGTATTTCTCAATTCATAAGGGCAGCCAACTTGGTCGTATGTAATCAAGATTGGAGGGTAAACATCTCGAAAATTTTGGAATGGGTGGAACTTATTACTTCAAGTACGCATATTCAAGAATGAAGACTTGATGAGCTTTATAGTGCACATCATATAAGAGCACCTAATACAAGATACACAAAAGAAGGGAAGTACAAAGCAATATAATCCACCAATAAGATGAAGTATAGAGACTACCTGCTTTTGCTTTAGCCAAGGATGGTTGTACAACAGCATGCATAGTGATAACAACTTTAGGTAGCTCCCCAAAAGGCATATTGCATTGTCCAACAGTCTTACTATTTTCTAATATTTTCCCAGCACTAATCAATTTCACATCATTTGCAGACTTTGGTGCAATTTTCTTATCTAAAACACAATGAACAATTTTGTCCAATCAAAATAACAAAACATAGCGAGAAGAATATATAAAAAGCTGATAATAAGCAGACTAAGACAAGGCTACAAAGCAACAAATATACCCCAAGCTACAATATGCGCTTATTATTATTAAATTTTGTGTGGCGTGATGTGTATTTTGAAGGCAAAGAAACTAAATTAACTGTTCCAATTTGTGTACCAAGCAATATCAGATATCTGAAACCTGCTCTTCCAATCTTTAGGTTCAAATTCAACCTTATCTATATCACTTTTGTAATTATATAACGCTTTAATTCATAACAACTATGGTCTTGTTGAGGTACAGTTTACTCTCTTACATAATCTAAAATATACACATATGAATGAACCTCCCCGTGTCAATTTAGAACAAGACAATACCACAAAATAGGAGAGAGATTCAGTTTAAGTATCCCAATACAATATTTATGTTTTTTTTTTTTTTTTTTTTTTTTATTTGCTTCATATGAAATGACAGAGGAACACAAACTTATCTGAAACCTGCTCTTCCAATCTTTAGGTTCAAATTCAACCTTATCTATCTCACTTTTGTAATTATATAATGCTTTAATTCATAACAACTATGGTCTTGTCGAGTAGTTTACTCTCTTACACAATCTAAAATATACACATATGAACGAACCTCTCCGTGTCAATTTAGAACAAGACAATACTACAAATTGGAGAGAGATTCAGTTTAAGTATCCCAATACAATATTTATGTGTGTGTGTGTGTGTGTTATTCTTTTTTTTATTTTTATTTTTTTTTAAATCACGCTTCATATGAAATGACAGAGAAACTCAAACTTATCTGAAACCTGCTCTTCCAATCTTTAGGTTCAAATTCAGGGCTTGTTTGAGCCCCATTATTTAGAAAAAAAAATACATTATTCTACGGTATTTTGACATCATTTCAACAACACATTTTTCAATAAGATAATATTATACGTAAATCCAAAAATTATTCTTATTTTTTAACCACACATTTCCGATCAATCCACTATTCCAAAATTCATTTTTCCTCCAAAATGGGGCTCAAACAAGGGCTCAACCTTATCTATCTCACTTTTGTAATTATATAACGCTTTAATTCATAGCAACTATGGTCTTGTCGAGGCACAGTTTACACTCTTACACAATCTAAAATATACACATATGAATGAACCTCTCCACGTCAATTTAGAACAAGACAATACTACAAATAGGAGAGATTCAGTTTAAGTATGCCAATACAATATTTATATGTTTTCTTTTTTTTAATCGCGCTTCTTATGAAATGACAGAGGAACACAAACTCCACCAAAAATTAAATTTGTTCAAGATGACTAGACCATAATACACTTCCTCATTAGCACAGACAAGAAGAGACAATAATCACACGAGACACCCTAGTTTAGCAATTACCCGTAGCACGTTTTATTCCATTCAACCGACAAAATAATAAATCAAATTTCAAATTCCATGACAAGCTAGAAATATATCCTCAATTAAGAAAAACAATATTAAATATAAAAAAGTAGCAGCAAAAAACTAACCTTTAGGCCACTCGGTGACAACTCTCTCCTTGAGCATGGCGACGGTGGCGGCCGGCGAATATCGAAAGGGACCAATATCCGATCCATCATACAATCTGAACTTGAGCTCCACCAAGTCTTCTTCCGGCATTTGTTTTACTTTTTCCCCAAATTTTCTCCAATATTTTCAACTTTTCCAGCAATCTTTCAATCAAAACCTCAATCAATTTCTAAAGAACCCTTCTGCCAAACCCCACCTAACACAAGGTATCTCTATTACGTAAAGAAAACCAATTAAAGAAGTGGAAATAATTTCTTTAACTTGTTTGGATATAAATTTGAAATTGAGGAACCCTAGACCAGATCTCGAATCTTAACGCGTTTGCTCAGCGTGTAGTGTAAATATCTGTGCGCTATGCTTTTAACCCTTTGTCCCCCTTTTTTGTTTTTTTTTTTTTGCCCTTTTTATTTATTTATATATTTTTTTGGGCACCTTTGGCTTGATTTTAATTGATCTTTTTCTAGATATTAAGTAAATAGGAAATTGCATTAGACCTCAACCGGCTAGAGTAATAGCAAGTTGTTCTCAAATCTATTTTAACAATTTAATCTTATTTTTATTATAGTGATACAATCAATATAAAAATCGTCAAAATCCCTATTAAATTGGCAACATTTCTAATTCATTTTTCACCTATTGGAATTTAATTCCATATTTCAAATTTACCAGACGTTTCTAGTCTTAGAAAGAAGAAAATTTCAAATGTCTTTTAAGGGCGAAACTTGTAAAATCATTACAACAATGTTCAATTAGTGTGTGTTCAAAGGGCTTTTTCAAAACCTAAAGCACTACTTGGAGGTTGGAGGGTAAAAAAGTCCTTTTGATTTGCGTAGAATAGCCTATTTTCAAAGTTTGTTTGGAAAAATAACATTTGACCAAAATATTAAAATTAAAATACATTAGCCCTTGTTTGAGCTCCATTTGGGGGGGGGGGGGGGGTGGTTTTGATAGTTTTAGAACGTATTAAATACATGGTTAAATTATTTAATTAGTTAATAGGGTATTAATCAAATTAGTTTAATTTTTAGCCCAATCCAAAACCCACACAAGTTAATACTAGCCCAATCCAAAACCCAACTCCTTTCACATACCCAACACAACTAATTAGGACCCAAACCCAAAATGAATTGGACCCAATGAAACCCAAAATTAAAACCCACTCAATTTTATATCTAGTCCATATCCAAAATCCAACTACATCTAAACCCAAAATAAATTTATACTTGACCCAACTAATTAGGACCCAAATCCAATATCCAGAACCCAACTACGCACACCCAACCAAACTAGTTAGGGCCCTATGCGAATTGGACCCAAATTAAACCGATAATTAAAACCCACCCAACCTAATATCTAGCCCAAATCCAAAATTCAATTTTTCAAATCGAACATAAATTCATGGAAAAAAAATTCATATGTAAGGTATATTGTTTACACCAATTCACAAATCAGATACAAAGTTTAAAAATTCAAAATTCAGGTTTCTATATAATTTAAGCATGTAAGTAGCTAATTATTTTCATTTGGTTTCTATTTTGAAATTAATGAATTTAAGAAATTACTCTCCTTACTGCAAGTTCACTGCATTGTAATTTTTGTAGATTGGGTAGGTTGAAATTCATCTCTTTTACTACCATTGTTGCCACCTCCAATGTCATCCATGTCCCTATGTCTAGGAAGGTTTTAGGCCTTATCCAATGCTCCCCCCAGCACCAAAATGCACCAAAAAATGGTGCAAAACAACTCCAATGTAACACCAAATTTTGCATCATTTTAGTGCATCACTATTCACTTTGCACTATTTTGGTGCAAATGATCAAAAGTCATTTTTACTCTTTATTTTCATTTTTCAAACAAATTGATTAAGTGTATTTCTATCATCTCAGCTATATATATTTTAATGGGTTAATTTCACAAGCAGTCACTGAACTTACCTAAAAATTATAAAATGGTCACTGAAGTTACTAACTTGCAGAAACGATCACCATTAGAATTGTTATGATTTTAATTCAAACTTAGATGACCAAAACACATGAAAATAGAATCTTGGCGACCTCAAGTTCAAATTTCAATCCTTAAAAAACCCTACAGCCACACTGCGGTGCTGCAGCGACCATCAACGACGCTGATGGGCGCCACAGCAGGGCCGCGATGAATCCATGTATTGGCGTTGCGTCTCTACTATTTTTCTGCATTGGGCATTGCAACGCCCAACATTCTGCTTCCTTTGCTGTTTTGACTGGGCGTGCCTCGTTTCCTCTTTTTTGTTTTGTTTTTTTCTCCTTCATTCACTTGGTTTCTTTTGTTCCTTCTTTTCGCCACTTCAACACCTAACACATAACACTAAAATCACATGTTAAGATGAACAAAACTCATAAGAATTAACTAAATAGCAAGCTTAATGGCATTAATATTATGAGTGAAATATCACCCATCACATACAACGACTCACAATCTTCCACATTTCACTAAAAAAATAACAATGACAAATACTAGATAGTCGCAATCAAAATAGAGTTAGTTGACAAAAAAACATATAATAGACTTCAACTGGCGTCATTTCGTCATCAAGTTATTCCATGCTTTACTAAGGTTGTCGTCAAGTTTGAACTTTCACCGGCTCTTGGCCTTCGTTGAGTTATAGATCCCTTCCTATTGAAATTGGTTCTCGATTTTGGTACGAAGGACATTGAACCACCAAATCCTGTTTGTCTTGTATTGTTAGTAGGTTGGGAAAGAAAATGCTACACTATACCTTGTTCAATTCTAGCAGCTGTAGTCGACTGTGAATAGGTAAATTGCTGTCCAACATTTGCTCTTGCAACTTTCCATGCCCTTGGACCTTTTATGTCCTTCTACTATTTATGAAAAAGGACGTCAATACACACACGCATTTGTGAAGCTTGCCTACGAAGCATGGTTCGAGTGGTATCTTTTATTGTGCCCCTTTTGACTGTAAATACTGTATTCCAATCTCTTCTTGCCATCACTTATCCTATCAATCCTCTTCATCTTCTCTTTGGACAATACGGCTTACTCAACCCCTCTTCGATGCTTTGTTTGCTTTCTATTTCTTTTTTGGTCTCCCAAGTTGGGGTTTTTACTGGGTCGAAGCCAATTAAAAGCCACATTTTTGGTCCATTCATAGGGTATATGCAATTTCGTAAGCTTTTAAGTAAGTTGCAACTTTGTAGTTCTCGTCCACAAACTGCAAAGGATCCTTAACCCACTCACAAATGCCAGCTATTGCGTGTGGACAAGGCACAACACTTAGATCCCACTTTCTACACGAGCATTTTGCCTTTATAAATCTACTACAAACTGACCATCAGAATATGGTCCAGAAAGTTGAAATTGCATTTTTCTATTGAATATTGTTTTTTAAGAAAAAGAATCACGTGTACTACTTTCAAGTTTCTTTAAAGTTTTTGGACATATATCGCTTGAACTCCATGCCATCAAATCGCGGTGTTTGTACATCCGTACCATTACCTTATTTTGAATTGACTGAAGGAGAGTTAAAAATCCTTCCCCTCGTTTCCTTTATATAGTTGTTAAAGTATTCGCAGAGATTGCTTAACAAAATGCCATATTTGGAACCAGTCATGAAATGGGACTTTGACCATTGCTCAACTAGTTCAGAACATAACCACTGTCAGACAGGTTTCTCTTCCTTAATTTTGTCCACCAATATGTAAACTCATCCATATAAGTAGACTTAACCGCTCTCTACAACAAATCCCTAAGTTTCAACTCTTTAAATTCGTCGTGAAAAAAGTTGGAGTACATATGCCTTACACAAAACCGATGCTCAGCCATTGGAAACAACTCAGACACCATATTCTCCAATCTTTTCTGTCTATAAAACATAATTGTGACTCCATATGCATTTTCGAGCATTAAATCCTCCCCAACGATTTTAAAAACCATGACCTACTAGCATCACTTTCAGTTGCAACAATGGCATGCGCAATTTGGGAATATACAGTCATTTCCATCAATACCCACTGCAACAAGTAACTAAACACTAAAACTACCTTTTAAAAAGCACCACATCTATGCAGATAACGGGCCTACAACCACCCAAGAAACTCTTTTTTTAAGCATAGAAGCAAACATAAATCACTTTAAACACAAGCTTGTCTAAAGATAATATAATAGTTGATCCTGGGTTTGTTCTCCTAACCTCAGCTGCATACGAACCCAGCAAACCAAATCTCCCAACTAGTGATCCTCTAAGCTATTCCTTAGCAATCTCCTAGCCCTCCATGCCTTTGTGTCACTAATCTCTACATCATACTTTTTCAAAACAGCTGCCTTAAACAATTTCACATCCCACTTTGGCACAATAGTAAAGGTCTCAGTATATCTACGGGCTAACCAACTAGCGGATACACTTATATTCTTCAATACTCTACTACACGTATAATTCCATTCGAATGATTTAATCTACCACGATGAATCTTCCTCTAATGACGAAGCCCAAATACGCCATGGATACTTTTTTCTTTTGCAAGACCTTCTAACCTGTATCTATCATTACATGGAAAGACCACCTCAAACCTATTAGACCTAAACTTCAGTCCTACCTCAAGTACGGGATCCATCATATCTACTTCACCATTAAATTATGGGTATGTAACAACTTTTGCGTCACTATTAGAATGAACACTTCGAAGGTTATCTAAGGGTACATATTCAGAATTGTCAAATTCATCTGCTGCTTCCAACGAAACTATCTCATTCCTCATATCAAGTTCAATATTCTGGGTAACATTTTCCTTAAAGAGAATGTCGTCTTCTTCACCAAGGCTATAATTGAAATCATTGAAGGTGATGTCTTCGTTATCCGAATCACTGTTCAAATAACCTAGACAATAGGAGACTATAAATTTGCTTAGCCGATAGTATAGTGAAAAATAAAAATCTCCAACTCACGTGAACTGACAATCAAATTAATGGTGACTTTATGCTATTTCAACACAAAAGACCCAATTAATGTGGCCCTAAAATCTATCCAAAGTTACTTTATGTGAACAATACAGACAAAAATGTTAAAAAAAAGAAGTGCTAACCTTCATCTTGTTCCTCCACATCCGACACGTCAAATAAATTTTAGAAGATTGTGATCCCCATTCTTCAATTTTTACAGAAAAATTGCAGAAATATGTACGGAATCATGCGGTTTGAAGGGAAGATTTAAGGATTTGGGTTCTCGATTGGAAGATCACCTAGGGATTGTGAACAATTTATTGGATGATTAGGGCATAATTTTTTCCCAAATTTCGGCCGCTATTGTTCTTCCACTATAAGTTTACATTGGGTTTGGGGGGCGGGGGTTTAATATTTGAAATTTGCACTTGAGGTCCTCA